GATGTACGATTGGATTTAGATTTTGCTGGTAAACTGAAATTTAGTGTCTCGATTCCTTTCCTGGGCCAGTGGGCGCTTGCGCTTTCATTTCTTACTTTAGCAGATTGTACATGAGGTGTTTCGGCTCTTATTATTTTGACATCTTGACTCCGCGGAGATATAATCTCTCGTCTTATAGACGTAGTTTTAACGGACCTTGGAGATTCATTGTTTCTGTCGTTTACTTTGCACAGCGTCCTTCTATTGGTATCACCGACACAAGAATTCTTACTCATCGCCCTCACACTAGCCACATTTTCTATTTGATCAGCATTTGTATCTTCCCCTTTTAGACTAAAAACATTAACAATCTTAGGGAGGAAATCATGAATCGATTTCTGTTTCAATTTAGTACTCGCAAAATTTCCATTATTCAACGTGGTGTCGAGTAATCTTCTTTTATTCCCTTTCCAACTGTCGTAAATAATTTTTCGTTTCTCTAATTTATAATTTGGCGGCTGGACAGTGACATGTCCGAATTTCTCAATGGCATTTGTTTTCAAAATTAGAACTCTAGAGTCGTCCGTATCGTCTTCTACGTTAGGTCTTTTTCTAATTTCTAAATTAACTAAAACCTTTTTAGTCTCGTCCGTGACACTTTTATTCATATCATCAAATTCGTAATCGCTCAACGATTTCGAATTTTCAATTAAGTCACAATTAACGTTAACATTATTATGTTCGTAATTGAAAACGATACGTTTGATTGCGCAGCTATTCGAGTTTACATCAACAGCCCCGTTGTTTGTTAGAGCAAACGATATGCCTATAAGTGGTTGGCGACTAAAACTACCTCTTAAAATCACTGTATCGTCGCTTTTTTTCTGGGTATCGTGAACATACGTGTCCGTGCTTAATTCCGAGGAACCTGACAAAAGTGATTTACCATTGTGCAGTGGCAGAAAATTGTCGACAATTACAGTAGTACCATCAATACTCGGAACCAAGTTATCTCTCGAGCGTTTCTCATTTTTTTCATTACACGTAAAATCTATATCTATCGTGTCTGTTGCATCTAGAACACTGTTCACTGATTTTGTTGTGCAAGCCGGTTGTTGAACAATTTCGGGGTTTACGTTTTCCAGTACCAAAGTACTTACAGATGTTCCAGGTTCCTAAAATCGAATTTCCGAATTTCTAGCGAATGACATTATTATGATGTGTTAGTAAAATTATTTAATATAATTTCATTTTATTTTGCTGTAGATAGTAGGGCCTTCCTGATAGGTGATTCTGGTGGTAGAACCTCTTGTGAGTCCGCGCGGGTAGGTACCACCACCCTGCCTATTTCTGCCGTGAAGCAGTAATGCGTTTCGGTTTGAAGGGTGGGGCAGCCGTTGTAACTATACTTGAGACCTTAGAACTTATATCTCAAGGTGGGTGGCGCATTTACGTTGTGGATGTCTATGAGCTCCAGTAACCACTTAACGCCAGGTGGGCTGTGAGCTCGTCCACCGATCTAAGCAATAAAAAAAAATTGATCTGCTGTTGCTGCGTCACATTTACTAGAGCAATTTAAGAAGCCACATTTTTTACCACAAATTCAGTTTGAGACAGATTGGAAGCCAATGAAATTCTGAAATTCTGTTTTCTACTCCTCTAGACAAAATGCAGCAAACAAAAGGGAACATAACATAAGAGCAGTCTTCCATTACATATTGGCAGCACTCCATTAGAAACTATATTGAAAGGCAGCGACTTGGCTCTGCCACTGACATTGCTGAAGTCCATGGGCGACGGTATCCACTCACCATCAGGTGGGTCGTATGCCTACAAGGATAATAAAAAAAAAACTATACTCATCTTCAAAAAAGAATTTGTTTTATCATTTCACAATAAATATCAATTACCCTTCTTTAACTATGCCCCCAAAACTTACTTGAGTGTTGCAAGAAAGAGCAAATAAAATTTATAAAATATGTTTGTTATAAAGATCAATGTTCATACAACAGTTCTCTTGTCAAATATTAGTTATGTCAAATGCAATATTTGAATACAGGTACATACATTGTTAAACAGTAAATATAATGGTTCAGGTAATTCAGTAATGTTACAAGATTTATCTCATGCAATTTCAATCACATGTTTGACATACTTTTTCAATCATATGTGCAACAGTGATGTAGTGTTAGTTGTGAAAAAGTATATGATTGGAAACGTGCAAAAATCTTGATCCTTGTTTGAATTTTTTTTTGGAGTTTACTCCTTTAGAATCGATTTACATATATAGGCCCGGGGTATGAAAATTATGGGGACCAAAATCGTACTAGCATGTCACACGAAATGCGTTATGCGCCTGCGCCGGCAGTCCGCCACAAAGCCTCGTACTGATCGCGCGTTTCTCTCATTATTGTATTTTCATATATTTGTTAGTCGTTTGTTTTGTGTCTCGTTAATTTGTTAATAATCTGTAGTGTATCGTGTTGTCGTAATATAGAACTATTTCTCGTATTGTTTCGTTTAATTTTTTATATCCAGTAAACTCCAGTCGTGCGTCGGAGCGGACACACACACTTTTTTTTACCTTGGATGACTTTTGGTGTTCATTAACCCTGTTGCGAGAAGGTCCCAGAGACAGTGAAATATTACTGACCATAGAATTCTGTTCAAGAAAAACAATTAATGGTCTTAGTCACTTTATTTAAAAAAAAAATTATGCATTATCCAAAGCCAAGCAATCTTACATCGTACTTGTCTATTCATCTCTTATTATTAGAATTTACAAGTAAAAAACCATAACCTCTTCCAATTAAAACTACTTTATTAATTTGTTTTGCCAGCCCTGCCAGTTTCTGTCACAAAACAGCAATGGAATCCAGTTTGAAAGGTGGGACAGCTGTTAGACTTCGTGTTTGAAGGTCACAAACATTCACATGGTAATGTTTATGGGCCCCAGTAACCAGTTAAGACCAGGCAGAGTGGAAGCTCATTCACGTGCAAAAAAAATGAAAGTACTGAAAAAGATATCACATTGATACTGTGTATCAAATTAACTATGGGTAACATACTAACAAAAAAAAAGTTAAATACAGATAATTTTCATAAATTGTGGATTTTTTTTTATAGGTAGTTGTAGCTTGAATGAACATGAATGCCTCAAGAAACTGAAGCCCTGCTTCCTTTTGAGACTAATCTCTAAAGATTCAAATTAAAAAAATTCAGTTTCTGTAATGAAGAAATTATGCATTACAATTTGAGTTGTTGTTTTGGAATTAAACCTCTCGACTTTTTTGAATCTAATGATGCACGATCGATTACAAATGTTGATGTCTATGGACTCCAGGAATATAATTTAACATCAAGTGACATTGAACTCGCCTGCTCACATTAACTAGTAAAAAGTATTAATATGTAGGTAAGTAAGATATGTAATTAAGTTGGCTGGGACACCGTAAGGATCGTATCATTAAGGATAGCTACGATGCCAAGTACTGCCAACAGTATACTCGTAACAGACCCTGCTGCATAGCCCTGCTGCCTAGTGTTTTTTGAAACATACACAATACAATTTGTTTACCACTCACTTGTGTTAACGTGTTGTTGAAATTTGATTTTTTGTATCTTCGCGGGTTCAACAGAGAAGGCACAAAATTATTAATATCGTCATCTTTATTCATTATTTTTATAACCATGTATTGAATTGTATTAATTTTCATGAAAATAGCAATTTTTTGCAGACAAAAAATTATTTATGTATGTACAACATTTGTTATTGTTGTTGTTAATTTTTTTATTAATAGATATTACAGGCTTGGAAATAAAGTCTTTTAAGCCAAATCAGTATTTCTGTTTCTTCGGCCGTTTTCCAATTACAGCACAAGAGCGCATTATGCGGCGTAATACGCAACTAAGCTTCAGCATAATTCAGCATTTTGCGTCACTGAGTCGCATTATGCTCTATAATTGGAAAACTACCATTAAGTAATGGTTAATTATGGCGAATTATGCTGAAGCTTAGTTGAGCATTATGCCGCATAATGCGCTCTTGTGCTGTCCTTCATCACTTCATTTTGTTAATGTTGGTATTCGGAGAAGCATAGATTATGCCATAAATAATACACTTAAATAAATAATTAATGCCGAACTAACCGCCAGCTATAAGTTGACACAAGTTCTTGTCCATAGAATAGACACTTAATATATTTGAGATTCTTGTCTTTTTATAATAAGCATTGTGACATTGACAACAGAATGCCGAAAGTACATGAGAAAAAGTTATGCATCTACCTTGATACGAGTTTACTTAATTAGTTACACCAAAGGCTGGTTGGAGATCGACTAAAACAGTGTACACCTAATGACTGTATATTCTCAAAGTAATTGAACGAGTTAAGAGGAAAAAGTTTTTGCCACTGAATATCTAATGTAGAAATAAAGCTTAATTTCACATTTGGATGTTATCTAATAGTTCTTGTTACTCTTTGGATCGTATTCTGAATTGCAAACAATGTACCAAAGCATTGCATAAACATATTGCAAATACTATCAACCACACCAATTATTATTAACAACAAAGAGAGAAGTTTTATAAACTGTTTTGTTTTTTGCTAACTTTGCAATGATTAAAGTAACCTATGAAATTTAATATTCCTTGAAAGAGCGGCATTATGGGAAGTTGAAACAAAATCGTTGGAAGTTGTTTTTAGATTTTACAAATTGTCATTGAAATCTCAGTAATTTTTCAACATTTTATTAAGCGTTATATTATATTTTATGTCGTCTTATTATATTTTAATTAATTTCAAAAGAAATTAGTGATTATAATTAATTTCAGATAATTTATAATAGATGATGCTTTAATCTTGATCTTGATTAGATGCTTTAATTTTTTTATTTAATTTTTTTTATTTTCAGCAAAGTTTTAAATGAAAGTTTGATTTAAAAGGCAATGCCCATTGACCAAAAGAAATTGAAAAAAAAACCTATAACTTCAAAATCTTCAAATTTCAATTGTCACTTTCAGTCAGTTTCGTAATTTTAATTAAAATAATTGTTTTTTGGGACGCAATGATATAGTAACCAATTTGAAAAAAATTGTTTCATTGAGAAAAGTGTTTTCGAGTACATTGTCTCAAGTGAGTGATCTAACTATCTTTTACCCATAAATTTTAGGTTAGAATTTGGTTCTATTTAGTTCGCCACTTTTCTCCCGGTTTATTCTCTTGAGGAAATGCTTCATTTGTAGGGGCTGAACGTGGCTTTGTTTGTCTGCGCTGTGAATTTTATGTGCAGAATATTTTGATAATTGTTTCGCTTCAATTAACACAAATCAAAATCAATATTACGTTGTCTGCTATAATCCCATACTTTAGAAACAAAAAAGCTAATTAAATAAGTCTGAAAAAGGAATATAAAGTTGGAATAAAATGAAATAAGGAAAAATCATACCACAATTCAGATTTCAAATTTAGGATTTCTGAAGATTTCTCGTTTTCTTTCACTTTCAATTGAAAGTGTGTAATAGTGAATTAGCTTAATTTTAAAATTAGTTTTTTACATATTTTTCCATTACCATATATTTTTCCATTACATGGAAAAAAACTAAATAAAATGGTAGTTACTAAATAAAGAGCCTCAAAAATTTATATTACAACTGTTTTACAAATTCACTGTTCAGGCGATTTAATAAAATATTACAGAATGATGTGTTCAAGTGCTGCTATGTGTGAATTGAACATAAGAGTCAAAGTTTACATATTGATGGTATTGCAATTGCATATATCAGATACTAGTAAAATAATGAATGAAAATGAAGTACACATGTGCCATTAAATTTTTTACTTTGTTTTATGATTACTGTCACCTAGTGGCACAGATTCACAGTTAATGTGCTCAATTCATTCAATAGATCACCTTCTGGGGCATTTGAGATATTTACTTAGACATTTAAATATTTTTTGTTAATTTTCTACATAATATTTTTTAAACACCTTGAATTATTTATAGGTTTCACTTTTTAAAAGAGTGTAAATTTTGTTTTTATTATGATTCCAATACCAACAAAACTTAAACCAAATTTAACTACATCACGAACACACCTATTTGGATCTGAACTATTAAAAGGCACAAAATGGTACAGTAGATTGTTGTAAACGTTTACAATATCAGTACCAAAGAAAGATATTGACATCCAGAAAACATCACTTATAATGTACTTGTTATGAAAATATATATCAGTTTAAAAAAGAAGAATAAAAAGGTTTGGTTAGTACATTATTGTAAATTTTTCACTTGTGCCTGGCTAACGGAAAAGTACCACACTTAGTATTGATAGATCCTTTTTACTGCAAATTGAATCAATCTTTTTACTCCACATTTTCTTGACATTTCAAAGCAGTCGGAATTAAGTGTTAACTAAAGGCCAAGGGAGCTAGGAGCAGACAAATCAATCTATCCTCTTTCTGGTTTGCTTTGGGTATGAGTACAGAAAGCTTATGATTCACCCTAGCATGTATTAAGATTTGTCTACTTCTACCAATCTACATTCTGTCCATAATGCAACTGTACGCAACAGTTCTTACACATGGGAACTAAAAAAATCTTAAAAATGCAGTTGATATTTGTCAAAACTAAGTATTTCTATATTCATTATTCTATATTTCTATATTTAAATATTCATTGTATGTTTATGTATATGATTTTCAATTAAAAGTTTTATTTTTCCCAATAAATCAAATTAGAAAGTTATATCAGTGCATGTTTGTGTATATTTGTGTATTATATTTGTATGTATTGATTATTATTTACTGTTAGTATTTTCAAAAAATAATTACAAGTTGTGCATAATATATGTAACACACAAGACACTAGCAGTAAAACAAATAACATAAACAGACTCAATACTACAGAAATGGCAGGCACAAGACGTGCACGTAATCAGGTGAATTCGCTGCCTATGCCTCGTCAGAATTCAGTGTCTGACAATGGGCGAGCACGCCAGGGCCTGAGCTCAGAAGCTTTAGCCGCTATGACTAAGGAACAGCTACGTGCAGAGTGTCGGAAAAGAGGTCAACGTGCAACGGGAAACAAAAACGAGCTGGTACAAATGTGTTTGCGTTTGTCAGTGTGCTTTGTTTTATTTTTACAAGCCATGTTTATTTTTTTTTGCCCTGCAACTTTTGACTATAAACAAGTTTAGAATATGCCAATACTAGTTTGGGTGATGTTTTGCTTGTTTTTTAGTGAATCATGACAGATTTTTGGCTTTGACCCTTTTAAGCACATTCATATTTTCATTGCACTTCTGTCTTCGAAAGTATGGAAAGTGTTAGAAGTAAGCTTAGACTGTAATAAACAAAAAAATTAGATTTAATGCATTTGTAGAGTTCGCAAGAAACGGATAAATAAAAATTTATTTCACTTTCTCTGACAGAGTATTTTTGCGTGCGTACCGGTCGTGTAACATTATAAATAATTACAATTTTAATTTATTATTTAGAGTAAAATCAGATGTCAATAACAACTTTGTTCTTTGGTAGAACAAAATATATATACATGTAGGTATTTCAAATAGACTAAAATCAAATGAGTAAAAAAAATATTGTAATTATCAACATGAAACACGGCAACGAATAGAAACTTGTCTAGACGGTATAATTTAGCGCAACAGCTGTCATTATTATACGTAGCTTATTTTTTTTTTGGCACAATGGACTTTGGCACAAAATCGGTTTTGTTTTAGGAAACATTGTCTTGTCGAAATTAATTCACACGAATAATATCACATCGCAATTCGTTATTATTTTACGGAGCTCTTTACTTTATTTTTGCTGTGATGAACGAACCATGGGCCCGTTAAGGAGCCCATAGACTCACAAGCTTAATGCTGTCACTCACCTTGGGACATGATCTTGAAGTCTCAATTGAAATGTACGACTCTCCTTCTCCTTCAAATCAGAACGCATAACCTATTCTGCCTATTTGCTTCGCTGCAAATAGGCAGAATAGCATTGACTACTTGTGTGGGCTCCGAATTACCGCGTTAATTAATTACCTACGCAAATAAAAATTTTTGCGGGTGTGATTTTTATTCAACGATGTTGCTCCTTCGTCGTAAACACACTTTTCCCCCACCTAAGCTGATGGTCTGAGAGACAATTTCAGCGTAGCCTTAACTAGTACGTGAGTTCACGGGGCTCACGCGTCTTATTTCTTAGACCAGGGTCAGTAATAGTCTGCGAAGCCTGATCGAGTCTTATCAGATCGCCCACATCCTGGCCATTTGGCCAGCAGCAATCACTCTTCCCATTAATATCAAAAAGTATACGAGAATCGTAATGGTTTTTATATCGATTTCGTGAATTAGTTACAGCGACATACTTTTTATGTTTATTTATTCTAATTGAATACAAGGTCACATTGAAGGCGAAGTGTTTATTCAAAACTACATTTGTTGCTTTGGCAGCATTTTTGACAAACACACATACGAGTTTTTGTCTATACCAAATCGAGTACCTAATGATAATTGAATAGATCGTTTCTCTGCTTGTACCAAAAAGTCCATGCTATTTACAGGGTATCTAGTAGTTCGATATAGTATCTATGGAGGGTATTTCTAAAGGGCAAAATCTCTGTGAATGAAAAAGTATTCGCCAAAAACAACCAATTACGGGGATACCACCAGGTGATGTAGTATCCAAAATACCCTATCAGTTTTTTTTAAACTTACCACACTCCACTCCGTTTACAACTGCTTCATTCATGTCATACTACCTGTTACGGTAGCGCTATTTTGGAGGGTTTTTAGTTGTAATTTGCTACTTACAGCTGGACGCCTTTTCAATTTGCCTCCCAAATGAGACAGTTCTCATTATCTTTACCTTTCACACAAACAACTTACTATGAAATATCCACTCAGAAACACTTTACGATGCGTAGTTGCGTAAGTACATAATTATTGTAGCATTTCGAGGATTTGTACGTGCCTAATCTCAAACCCTAGTCTCACGAAAGACTTGGCATTTTATCATACTACTGGACCGCAAAACTTTGGTTACATTTAGTTTATAATTAATGAATTATGAATTGAAAACAATGATATTTCAAGATTTTTCCTCAATTTTGCAGTAAACGGTATTTTAGTGTATTAAGCATGTATTAAAAGACTACTTTGACCCATAGACGCACTCAGTGGGTTGTGATTCCGATTCGGTGGTAGATTCTACAGAGCGCTGCTCTTGCAAGGGGTAATCAATCATCATCATCATCAACAGCCCACAGTCGTCCACTGCCTATGTCCAGGCCTCTCCAAATTTACACCACTGACATGGTGTAAATTATAGCCCTAGCTAGTATAAGCAAATTCTCAGGTTGACCCCGTGAGCTCACCTACCTGTCCACGAGAATGTGGACTAGCTCCTTAGGCTGCTTACTCCTAAGTACTTATTAAGCATCGTTTAAAGAAGACAATCATAGATAGTACTGTGGTAATATGGAACGTACGATAAAAAAAACGCAGAGAAGCGAAGTCCCGCCGTATAACTAGAGTTTCAAGCGCTCCGTGAGAACGAAATTATATTAATATTCGAACGACACTCCTCTATGGCGTCAGATGTAAGTAGCTAGTATAAGTGCCTAGTATAAACCAAAACAATCAAAAAGCAAATAAGGTTTTATGTCAATAAAACTATAATTACATCCGAGACCCAATTAATTTGGTCGATTAAATGTTTTGTTGGTACATAGTTAATGATACTTTATGATATTTTTTTTATATTTAGATGTATTTTTATTAGATCGAAGTCTCATTGTGTTATAAAGTGGCTGTCCCACGCTTCGATCTGGAACGCATGACTGCCATGCGGCAGAAATGGGGAAGATGATGTGCCTATACATGCGGATTTACTGTACCATGTCACAGTTTCGCAAATTTAGTCACGAAATACACGACTATTACACGATTTGACATGTAATGTGGCAGTAATTTCTTAGTACAGGCTGGGGTACGTATTTATAAAGACTGGACGAGATAACAATTTTGGTAATGTCTAATTAGTTGTTAGATCTGCCCTAGACGAACCTTAATTTCGCTCGCCGTAGGTCTCAATTAACAAATTCCTTAAATCATAGTAATGATATTGTTTTCACGGTGAAGGAATATGATCGTGTAATAAAAATGAAACCCGCAAAATTATAATTTGCGTAATTACTGGTGGTAGGAGTACCTCTTATGAGTCCGCGCGGGTAGGTACCATAACCCTGCCTAGTTCTGCCGTGAAGCAGTAATGAGTTTCGGTTTGAAGGGTAGGGCAGCCGTTGTAACTATACTTGAGACCTTAGAACTTATATCTCAAGGCTCCAGTAACCACTTAAGACCAGGTGGGCTGTGCGCTCGTCCACCATAACCACCGTCTACCTAAGCAATACAAATTAAGGCAGCGGCTAGGCTATCTGGCTATATATATACTAGCATGCCTAGTAGGGTATTAAAAAGTTTTTCCGCAAAGTTTCTCCATAATTTACATGATAGTTTTTTAATTGTCTTCAACCGGTGTCATTAAACTTATGGACGATGGGTTTTTTGTATAAAAAAATTGTCTTGAAAAAATTGTTCTTTGAAATTGACAATGTTATAATAATTAATTTGTCTGTATCAAGAAAATTGTCATGTTGAACAGGAGTGAAATTAAGGCCAGGTAATATACCGCATTATTATCATTTCATTGGCCACTGTTGTCGAGTAAACAGCATGTTTATTTAAGCTGTTATCAGCTAATTATTGTGAATGTCGTTACCGGCTTTTAACTGCTGTTGATATTAATATTTTTCATTAATCACATATTAATATCGGTAATTGAATTTCGCATATATTTTTTCAAATTAAATCATTGTTATATATGGTGTATATATATATAAACTGGTGGTAGGACCTCTTGTGAGTTCGCACGGGTAGGTACCACCACCCTACCTATTTCTGCCGTGAAGCAGTAATGCGTTTCGGTTTGAAGGGTGGGGCAGCCGTTGTAACTATACTGAGACCTTAGAACTCATATCTCAAGGTGGGTGGTGGCAATTACGTTGTAAATTTCTACGGGCTCCGGTAACCACTTAAGACCAGGTGAGCTGTGAGCTCGTCTTGACATCTATGCAATAAAAAAAATATGTTTTGTTATAAATTATCATCGTTTATCTGATAATCGCAACCGACGTCATATATATGATTTACAGACGATAAAACTTGAATGAAACTTGTGTTTTATATTCATATTATTAATTTCTATTGAACGAGTTCAAGACCAACTTGATTACCGAAGCCTATAGAAACTTAAACCTATCTTGAGGACTGAACTTGTAATTTAAAATAAAAAAAGATTCGTTCTAGCGCACAATTCGCGTTAAACGTTCGTATATAAAACGTTAGTTGTTTATGAACCTTAATGGATTAAACTTAGGTTTATTTTTTTGTTCTACCTAAGCTGATGGCCTAGAACAGTAGTGGGCAAACATTTTTAATGGCGGGCCACAAAGTTTAAGAAATTCTAGACCAGGGCCAGTATTATAGAAAAAATGCATTTTGTATTATTAGGTAAAGCTTTTTAATTAACAAAGTACCTTTTAGTTTTACGCCTTGTTAGGCGTGTGATAGATAGGTGAAAAGAATGTTTTTTTTCCAATAAATAAACTAATACCTGTGGCAGACTGCCGAGATAATTATAATGATGGCAAGTTAATTATAAGATAATGAAAGCACAAAACACCACCGACGAATTGGAGCTTCCATTAAAAATTCGAAAATTTTCAATTATAAACGTCAGATTTTTTACGCGCCAAAATGCTGACTAGAATATTTAGGATGGCTGGACTCTCGGCGGGCCGGATTAAATACTTCCGCGGGCCGTACTTTGCCCATTACTGGTCTAGAGAGATAAATTCAACGTCGCCGGGCTAGGACTTTACTCAAGTTCACTATAGCTTATAATATATTCAATAAAGTATTAATTTATTTTCAAAGGAAAAAAACGTATTATCAAAAATTTACATGATAAATAAATAATAGTATAATACAAGAATCGTAGAAGTAATTTTAGCTCGTTCTATGTA